GGATCCCCGTTTGATGGCAGTGAGGGGTGTGTGTGTGTGTGTGTGTGTGTGTGTGTGTGTGGTCATCAGCAGTATTTGGTAAGGCAGTGGTTCTCAACCTTCCTAATGCCGCGACCCTTTAATATAGTTCCTCATGTTGTGGTGACCCCCCAACCATAAAATTATTTTCGTTGGTACTTCATACCTGTAATTTTGCTACTGTTATGAACTGGGCAACCCCTCTGAAAGGGTTGCTGGACCTCCCAAAGGGGTCATGACCCACAGATCGAGAACCGCTGTTCTAAGGCATCTAACAACAACAGCAATAATACCCAATACAATCACCAAAGGTGTTTCCTCATAAATAGGAAGGGGTTTGGAAAATAGGCAGCAAAATAAATGCAAGTGCCCACTACACTCTTTGAGTCTTAGTTGCCCATCTACAAAATAAGGATAGTAATAACACTTGCCTGAAAAGGGACTCCACTCAGGCACTGAATGAGATCATCACAGCCACTCAGTACAGCGGCTGGCCATGAGAGATTGTCTATGACGTGGTGAGAAAGAGAAAAATATTCTGTGTGGATGGAGCCCAAGGACTCAAAAGCCAGAAAAAAAGTCTCTAGAAAAGAAAGGCAGGGGACCCTGGAGTCTATTAGCCTGGAGAACGGAATGCGCTGGAAAGGAAGCAGCAGGGCCCTCTCCGGTTTGCTGCAGAGGCCACCAGAGGTGGTTGGGCTTGGCCTCTGGTGCTCTGTCCTCTGGATGCAGCTGTTCCGAACTGGCTCAGGACTTGGGGCTCAGCCAGAGGAATCACCGCAGGGATTAGGGACTGAAGGGAGGGCCAGCTTCCAGAGTTCTGACGCCAGGGACCAGCCAAGGGTGGGGAAGGAGCTGCTCCCAGTGTAGCCAGGTCTAACTCAGCAATTTCTCTTCAGGGGAAGGTGGAGAGGAAATGTGGTCCTACCCCCGTCCTTCCCTTATGAATCCACCGGAGAACCTCGGTTACTGGAACAAGGTGAACAAAGGTGACAGGAATCACCCAAAGGACCCAGTCGTAAGTACTGGAAAGGGAAATGACACCTTCAGCTAGCAGATAGGATATGGGTCCGGAGGAGTTGACTGGGTGGTCTAGGAGGAGTTCTCTCAGGGGTTTACCCCTGCCCCCAGACATTCAGGGACCATCCCTCCCATCTCTGGGTTCCCTGGGGACTCTGCTTCGCCCCTGATGTGACCCCAGAACCTGGGGTTCCAGACATTGGGTTCCAGGGTATCATCTCCGTGTGGCAGAGCACGCCTGAAGGGCACAGCATGCCTCGGCGCTCCCGGAGCGCAGGATGAGTGCCGGGAATGCTTGAAGAGTGAGTGAGCTGAGCCTTCAAGCCATGAAGGGGAAGGAAGAAAGTATTTCTGAGACAGAGACTAGGCAGAGGGGTCTGGCATGAGGGACAGCGTCTGGAGGGAAGGAAGCATCTGTTGGGGAGAGGAGCTGGCACCTGGCCAGGGCTTTCTCTAAGGTCTTGTTCGGTCTTCTTATCAGCCCTGCGAGAAAAATGCTATTATTCCTGTGAGACAACGGAGGCTCAGAAAGGGGAAATGACTTGTCCCCAAAGTGCTGATACAAATAGGTCTGTCCGATTCTCAGGGACATGAGGTCTTCAGCCATAAAAGTAGGCATAGTTATGGGCCCTGGCCAGTGCCCCCAGGGTCACCAGTCCAGGAGCAGATGGCATGTGTTTGGGCCCAGAAACCAGTGTGACTCTGCTCTGGCTCAGGTGGGGGTTGAGGTAGTAAATGACAAGCAGTTTCACATTCCCAGCCCTTTGCACACACAGCTGCTCCCACTTAATGTGTCCTTCCCTGCTCACCTGCCAGACTCGCCCAGGCCTCTGGTGAGCTCTCTACACTTTCAAGTCCGAACCAAGTCTTGTCTTCCCCTCAAGGCCACTCAGCATGCTTGCTGGAGTAGATCGGACCCTTCCTGGCATTGGGCCCCCAGCTCTCCATACACATCCAGAACCGAGCCGCAGGAGGTGCTCCTGGAAGGGTTACAGAGTGAATGAGTATGCACACAAGCCAGAAAAGCCCTCAACCTCCAGTGCCTATGGGGAAGCACCAGGCACCCTGTCCCCTGAGCACTCTCTCTTCTCCCTCCCCGTCCCTGGGCTAGCCCCACGGTGAGGCCAAAGGAGCTGGCTCTAGATGCAGGTTCCAGTGGTTGTCCTGAGGGAGGAAGCAGGAAGGGCTGCCAGACTTGCTCCACACCCTAACCTCACCTGGCTGGGTGTGGGCGCAGAGGGCACAAGGCAAGGAGGGCAAGGCTGAGTAAGGCTTAGAAGGATTGCCCCCAACTTGAGGGGAGGGGACTTTCTGCTTGCCTCCCTCTCATGGGGTGAGTCCTTGGGGGGAGGAACCACCTGTGTCTTTGCTTGAAAAAAGGGCCAGCACTAGACTCATTGGCAAGAAGCTGGGTTTTGACTTTGACACTTGTTAGGAAACTGCCCTGGACCAGACTGGAGGTAGATGAGATACAAAGATGAAAAATGCCCATTTCCTCCCTAAGGGAGCTCACACCTGATATTTAAGAAAGAATAAAAATAGCTAACATTCACTGAGCACTTGACCATGCGCCAGGCACTGATCTGAGCACGTCACTCATCTTGATAACTATTTGAGCACTCACAACAAACTGTGAGAGCACTGCGATTATTAGCTCTGTCTGACAGAGGATGATGGAGGCCCAGAGTGATCAGGGAACTTGCTCTAGACCCCAGAGTTGATCCTTGCAGCACTGGCATCCACGCGCTGGCAGGCTGTCTTCAGACAGGAACCTAACCGTCACACACCTTCTGTGTCATGCCACGGATGACACATAGTCACATCTCACCTCTGCCCACCTCTTTCCCAGTAGGGGTGGTTGTGAGGTGCCGTCACATCAGTTCTGACTCATAGCGACCCCACGCACAGCAGAAGAAAACACTGTCCTCACCAGTGTTATGGTTGGTCCCACTGTTGGCAGCTGCTGGGTCAGTCATCCTTTTGAGCGCCTTCTTCTTTTTCATTGACATGTCTTTCCTGATAACAGGTCCAAAATACATGAGATAAAGCCTCACTGTCCTCAGTTGTAAGGAGGATTTTGGTTGTACTTCTTATAAGACAGACTTGTTTGATCTTCTGGTAGTCCATGGTACTTTCAATATTCTTCAACAACTTCCATAACCAATCTACCTTATTTACCTAGGTTTCACATGTATAAGGAGGCAACTGAAAATACCAGGGCTTACGTATGGTAGCCAACTAAAAAGGAAGGGGGAGGGGAGAAGAAATGGGTAGCAGGGGAATAGGGCACTAAGCCACCCAAGGGGAGGGTATTATTTATATCAACACAGGGAAAGAGGGACCAGACTTCAACCTGGTGCTCCAAGATGTGAATGCAACATACCGGCATGAAGCAGGGAACCAGAAGAGAGGTCTGAGGGGCCATCCCCAATCCCAACTATGTGGACAGCTGCCCCTTGCCCCAGAAGAATTTACTTCAGAGGACAGCACTGAAGTTACAGCTCAGGGAGAGGGACATATCTGATCAGAGCACAAGGGGGCAAATGAAGGGGGAAGAAGAGAGAGTGGAGCACATCCTGGCCCACCAAGCCCTGAGGAGGATATCCCTGCTCAGAGCAACCAATGCACAGAGAGGACCATATGGCCACCCCCACTACGAGACACGACATCCCCCACTGACCCATAGCCCTGTGGGGATAACACAGTGTGGGAATTGCCCCCAATCTGACCCCACCACACTGAGGCAAAACACTAAGGGTGTGCAACAGAGCAGCAAGGGAGTAGAGCAAGGAAGTCCTGAGGGAATACCAAAAATAGACTTTGGGGCCAGGGCGTGGCACCCCATCAGACTCCATAGAAAACACTCCTAAAGGTCAACAAACCGATCTTGAACTATATACAGGCTTTTCTTTCTTTTGTCATTGTTTTTGTTGTTTTGTTTTCTTTTGTTGCTTTCTTTTGCTCTGTCTTGTTTTTGTGCATGTTATTATCTCTGCAGGTCTGTCTAGATAAGATAAGCAGGATAAACAATCTGGAGGTGAAGACAATGGGACCAATGGTTCCAGGGGCACATAGGAGAGGTGGAGGTGGGGGAAAAGGAAGTGATGTTAACAAACCCAGGGACAAGGGAACAACAAGTGACCCAAAATCGGTGGTGAGGAGGGTGTAAGAGGCCTGGTAGGGCTTGATCAAGGGCAATGTAACCAAAAGGAATTACTGAAACCCAAATGAAGGCTGAACATGAAAGTGGGACAAGAGGACAGTAAAAGAAAATAGAGGAAAGAACTAGGAGGCAAAGGGCCTTTATAGAGGTCTAAATACAGGCATGTACATATGTAAATATATTTATATATGAGGATGGGGAACAAGATCTATGTGCATAGATTTGTAGGTTTAGTATTAAGGTAGCAGATGGACAATGGGCCTCCACTCAAGTAATCCCTCAATGCAAGAGCACTTTGCATTTAAACTGGCATTCCATAATGCTCACCTTCCCGACACGATTGCTGAAGACAAATGTGTGCATAAGCAAATGTGGCAAAGAAAGCTGATGGTGCTTGGTTATCAAAAAATATAGCATCTGGGGTCTTAAAGGCTTGAAGGTAAACAAGTGGCCATCTAATTCAGAAACAACAAAGCTCATATGGAAGAAGCACACCAGCCTGTGTGGTCAGAAGGTGATGAAGGGATCAGGTATCAGGCATCAAAGAACAAAAAAAATCATATCATTGTGAATGAGGGGGAGTACAGAGTGGGGACCCAAAGCCCATGTGTAGGCAACTGCACATCCCCTTACGGAAGGGTCGCGGGAAGGAGATGAGCCAGTCAGGGTGCAGTGTAGCAACGATGAAACATTCAACTTTCCTCTAGTTCCTAAATGCTTCCTCCCCTCCACTATCATGATCTCAACTCTACCTTACAAATCTGGCTAGACCAGAGGATGTACACTGGTACAGATAGAAACTGGAAACACAGGGAATCCAGGAGGGATGATCCCTTCAGGACCAGTGGTGAGAGAGGTGATACCTGGAGGGTGGAGGGAAGGTGGGGTGGAAAGGGGGAACTGACTCCAAGGATCTACATATAACCCCCTCCCTGGAGGACAGACAACAGAAAAGTGGGTGAAGGGAGACATCAGACAGTGTAAGACATGAATAATAATAATTTAGAAATTATCAAGGGTTCATGAGGGAGGGGTGTGGGGAGGGAGGGGATAAAATGGGGAGCTGATACCAAGGGATCAAGTAGAAAGCAAATGTCTTGAGAATGATGAGGGCAATAAATGTACAAATGTGCTTGACGCAATGGGTGTATGTATGGATTGATAAGAGTTGTACGAATCCCTAATAAAATGATTTTTAAAAAAGAAAGAAGGAAAATACCAGGCTTAGGTCGGGTGAACCTTAATTCTCAAAGTGGTATCTTTGCTCTTTAACACTTTAAAGAGGTCGATTATAGGCTACTTGCCCCTAGTAACACATTTGACTTCTTAACTGCCACTTCCACGAATGCTGACTGTGGATTCAAGTAAAATGAAATCCTTGACAATGCCATTCTCTTAATTTATCATGATGTTATTTATTGGTCCCATCGTGAGGACTTTTGTTGGTAGGTTCTGGAAACCACCAAATACCAAACTATGCTTTAGGATGTAACTGTTATTCTTGCCCCTGCTGCCTACCACAGTCCTCTTCCCAGTGGACTTGTCTTCTCATCGTCTGGAAGCTCCAAGCTCTGGTGGCTCACAGTCCTTTGAGTGTCTTGCACAAAGCAGGTACTCGAATGTGTTTGCGGTTTGCCATGCTGACAGGGATGACTTCATTTCCCCTGATCTCTGGGACATGAACAAAGTTGTTCTTACTTTGGGCTGCACAATGGAATCCTCAGAGGAGCATTAAAAATTACTGCTCCTTTGGCCACATTGCCAGAGATTCTGATATAATTGGCACAGGGTACAGTAGAGCATGGGGTTTTAAAAGATGCTCTTTAGTTGGGTTT